TTTTGACATGTTATGTATTTTGCTTCATACAAACTAAATACTTTTTCTAATATTTTCCTAGCATCAATAATAGTTAGTTGCATATCAATACCTAAATTTCTTTGCCGTAGCAGTCATTAAAGATTCGGTCCCATCTACTCTGCATCTAGGATCTAAAATGGTTGCTAATGCATATAACATAGGACAACTGGACCAATAACTTTTAAATTTAGCTTCCATTAGCTTAACTATAGTTCCAAAAAGTTCAGTATCCCTATAATAAGAAAATGTTTCTGAAATATTAAATAGTTGATGCAAAGCTAAATGTGCAGTAGGATAATAAACTCCAGAAAGTAATTCAGTGGCATTATAGAAAACTTCTAAAAATTTTAAAAAGTACTCACCAATCTTCTAATCTGTATTCAAAATTAAAATTTGATCGTTCTTATTGTTCACATGCGTTGCAATGAGCTGTTGATACGGAAGTCCAGCCTTCAACATTAAGTAGGTGGAGTTCCACATATGTCTCACATCAGTTGGAAACTTTCTTAAGCGGATCTGACTATTCCTGTAATATTGTCAGAATTCTTGGAGCCAAGCTCCAGAACTAGATATGAAGGATAAAGATTCTCTAATATTTGTTAGATTAGAGGAAATATGTTCAATTCCTACTTGTACTACTAAATTTAATATGTGACACGCACATCGTTGATGAAAAATTGTGCCACCAAATGCTAGTTTCAAACTACGTTTAAACATGTTAATTGCAGTCGTGTTAGCTGATGCATTATCAAAGTAATAGTTAAAACTTTATCTTCTATCCATAAAACCAAAAAATTTCCATTATTGTTTCAAAAATAGCATTTGCGTTATGAGGAAATAGACATAAACGAAAACCTATTATTCTCTTTTCTAAAACCCATTCATCATCAACATAAAACGCTGTGATGCATAAATATCTAGTTTTATTGCACCTCCCCCATAGATCAAAAGTACAAGATATAATAGCATTAAAAGACCTAAAATTATCAACTTGAGATTGTCTCATTGCATAAAATACTTTCATGCAATCAGAACGAGTTATGTTTCTACTTACCCATTTATATTGCGGGCAGAAGGCCGTCTGTATGAATTCTTCAAACACTGCATCATCTGCAAAAGAAAGAGGTAATTCGACACTAGTTAACAATTTAGCTAGTGCCTCACGAGCACGTTGTGCATTGTATGTAAAATTTTGCAACCCTTGTGATGTGAATGATAGTGTTTGTTGGCGGGAGTCCACATTCCCACCTTGGTGTAACAGCAGACATGCTTTCTAATGTCTATCTAAATGACCAGTACCCCCACATTTTTTATTAGAAAAGTGCTCTTTACAATATTTACATATCGAACGAATTTCCATTTCACTTGTTTTTAGATTTGGTCGGGGCTCCTCTATGAAATGCTGCCATGCGGGAGCAGTTCGCGGTCTTTTTTCCTTGCTACGTACTCCAACTTCCTTGTTGTGCACTGAAGCATTATCAACCGGAGCAGTTTCCGGTTAAGTGGGGGTGGAGTTGTGGACCAACATTTCATTCTTGTAAAATGGCTCATCACCAAGCTCAGGGAGGGCAGTGAAATCAGGAAAATTTGATGCGGCCATTTTCTGAACAAAAGAAACTAATGTTAATTCGTTCATTTGTAAACAATAAACAGTATAAATAAACTTGAGTAATACAATGTTATGTAACAAAATTGATAAGTAGAATACCTTTTTTTCTGAGATTTTTGGAAATTGATTGAACTTTGAAAATGAAAGAACAAGAAAATGAGTAATCGAAGAGAAAAGCTCAGAATCAATATCAAAGAGACAAGATGAGAGATAGAATGAGAGTGAGGTGAGAAGTTAAGAGTGAATTGTTGTGTGAGATTTATGGTGAGATTAATGAGTATTTATAGGAGATTTTTGGGCACATTTTCGGCTTGTGACCGTTGGAGAAAATCAACCATCGATGATGAGGGAGGAACTATGATGGCGAATCGCGAAGAGAGAGATTGTGGGCAGAGAGAGAAAGAGGGTATGAGATTGAGAGAGAAATAGAGTAATAGAGAGAGAAAGTGAATTTGAAAAAAAAAATAGAAATCCTATAAGGAAGGATAAAATGAGAAAACAAATATTTAAAATTTAAAATGGCCTATTATTTTTAATGATTGATAAATCATATATTTATTTCTAATGATTTTAAAAATTGACCTATTTATTTTAATTATCTATGTAAATAAACATCCTTTCTGCCTTTAAAGATCTCAAAAGAGTAAATTCGAGTAAAGAAAATTAGAAATTATTGAAAAAGGTAAAATTGACATTTTCATGTTCTAAAAAAAAAGGTCTTATGGAACTAAAAACTCATATTTTAATAGGTAGAGGTACCGATTTAAAATTATATAAATATAAGATACTAAAAAGACAATTTCATGTAGGAGAGGTACCAAATTGAAATGATCCATAAATAAAAAATACAATGTAATAAATAAGAGAGTGTTTACAACATGACAGGAAGCTCGAGCTATTCAACACAAATTCAACACAAAGGAGAAAGAGAAAATGTATCATATAACATTTCTTGTATATACATTTTAAGTAATTAGTATCTTTTCAAAATGTCGATAACTTATATGATATCTTCCAATATCATTTAAAAATAAATGCCCGTTTAAATGTTTAGATTGTTGGTTCAAATTTGAAGCATAATTCAAATTTTGTGAGACTGTGACAGAAAATTTTAAATTCATGTTTTTGTGAGAGAAAATATTGTTTGAACTAAAACTAAGGTGTGTAGGATCCGTTTGGTTATGTATTCAAATTAAGGTTCAAACTAGTAATTTTAATTATTACTTTTAAAATTTAAATTTTTTATAGAAATAAAATACTGCAGTAAAATCAAAATACCTATAAAAAATTTAGGACTTGTTCTTTTGGAGTTTAACTTGAGTATAATTCTTGAGTTGAATTTGAGTTATAATTTGAGTTGAACTTCTTCCCGTTCATTTCGCTGGTTCGAGTTTAGAATTCGAGTTTTTTTACAGTAAAAAGCTCTGACAAACAATCACATCTAACTTTTTTGCTACAGTAAAAAACTCTCACATAAAGTCACATCTCAACTCGAATTAAAAACTCGAATCAGCAAACTAAACGTGAAACTTGAGTTTGTGTTTGATTGTGTACATTTGAGTTATGATTTGAGATAAAAATTTTTTTTGAGTTTGTGTTTGAGTGAGTCAAAACTTGAATTTGTATTTAGATAGTATTTTAATAAAAACTCAATGCTGATGAAAAATTTTAATAAGGTATATGGGTCGGGTTTTATTCATCTTTTCGTTGTCAACGCATAGAAAAAAAAATCATCTCAATCATAATTAAAACGAAAAAGTTATAACATTTTTAAGAATAGAAAAAATACTGTTCATTAATTTGAGTTCAAGTTTCTGAACTCGAGTTGAAAGGGAAACTTAAACTCAAATTTTAGTCATAAACTCGAATTTAAACTCGAGTTTGAACTCGAATTTAAACTTAAAAAAATATAAACTCAAATAAAATTATAACTCAAGTTATCTTTTTTTAAATTTTTCGCTCAAAAGAACAAGCCTTATATTCCAAACATATCCTTACACCCTCCGAGGCTCCAACCAAACAATGATCTAATTCTCGGTTGTCGGTGCTCGATTGTCGGTGCCGTTTGAGACGATGTTCTTTTCCAACGGTAAAGAAGGGGTTTCGTTTCTTAACCCTCACTTGAAACTCCCATTCGCCACTTTCAAAAAAATACAAAAGAAACTCCCCAGCCGCCTCACTCTTTTTACATCTCTCTTCACCCCTCTCTTTCTTCCTTCACCGAGTTTCTCTCTCTCTCCCTATTGATCTCTTTTTCTCGTTCTTCGTCTGAAGATATCGAGCTGCGACGGAGATGTTGAGCCGCCGTCGTTCTTCGTTGGAGATTTTTGCCGCGAATCGCCGGAGAAGAATAGAGGGAGAAAACTGGCTTTGTCGCGATTCCGGATGTGATTTCGCAATTTCCCCTTTCTAGTTTTGTTGACTTTTGATGCCGCGATTTAAATGATTTTGCTTCCTTGGTTTTGTTGAGTTTTGTTGCCGTGATTTCGGCTTCGATTTCTCGATTTTGCTTCTCTGATCTTTTTGAGTTTTGATGCGTGCAGCTTTTGCCGGAGGTGTTCGGGTGTGGCGTTCCTCTCTCTATCATCGCCGCTGCGAATCCAACGTTCAGAATCGCCGACAACATTCCGGCATCGTGACGATCTCTTCAATTCCGATTTGCAACTTTTCCGTTTATCGTACCTTAACATCACTCCCAGTGTTTGACCAAATGCCGCCATAGAACTCCTTTTCTGTCGAATCTGAGTTTGTAATTTTGATCTGAGTTTTGTGAATTTTGATCTGTTGAATATATATACATGTATATGACTAACTTTCATATATTACTCTCTTTTCTCTGTCTGCCATGGCTTCTCATCAACATTTCTTGGGCCTCTGCATCAAATCACGATGTTCTTAAGGTAAATTCTCCAAATGGGTTCCCATCAAAATTTCTTTTTTCTTGTTTGGTTGCTGAGAAAATGGTGCAATTCAGCAACAAGAATGAGAGTGAGATATAAAAAATGAATGAGACTTCTCTTCTGATATACGGAGAGTTTCCTGATCAATTAAAATTGTCGGTTGAGAACATTTTTTAACTTATCTTTTGTTTTTTGTTTCGACAGCATTACGTTGTTTATATGGGAGCTTCAGATCCATCGCTGAATGGAAACCGAAATGATGCTAAAGTTGCAGATCTGCTTATCTGCAATTATTGTCCTCTATTATTAAACCAAGGTTTAATAATATATAGTGGATATATATACAATAACACAAATGAAACTCTTATTATTTTCGTTTTGTTTGTCATAAATATTGTTGTTATGTTACTATATGTATTTTCGGTATATTATTTGGGGAGTTTGTGATTGTTAATACGATGTGTCATATGGACGGATGGAACAGTTAACGTTTTGGCTTCTATTTCAATTGGTATGGAATATGTTTGTTTGTTGACTATCTGATATTGTGCTGGGCAATCTAAAGGACTTACAATGATGGAAATGCAATCATTGAAAAATCTACAGATTACCTATTAGAGCAATTAAGGATTTTTGGTAGAAATTAGCTTGCAGATTACACTTAATTTTAATCTTTCTACACATGACAATGTTTTGAAAAGAGTTGGTATAGTTGTTGAGCGAACAATTCATTGACCTTTGGATGACTGCTTGTGGGACATTTTGTGAGATAATTGGCCAAAAACTTTTTACTCAAAATCATATCTCCACCGAGCTTCTTAAAGGGTAAGAGTTGTATATCTTATTAGTATTTTTTTTAATGTTGAAATCTCTGTTTTTCAATATTACTGATATGTTTAGCTCCAACATTACCATTGGCGTTTGACTACTGTTACCAATGGTTCTAGCTCTAATGTTGCTGTTGATCTTAACTTCAATTTTATTTAAAGTTGTAACTCCCATATTACTATTGGGTTTTAGTCCAACATTGGCATTGGTTGTAGCTTGAATGTTGCCACTAGTTTTATCTCTGAAATTGACTATCTTCGTAACTTTGTGAGTGGTATTAGATCAATTTAATTATTGCAAGTTTTGGTGCTGCTGGTAGGGGCATTTTAAAAGCAGAGATATGATCTCTTGGATTCACCCAATTTTTGTTGTAATTCTTACTGCTTTATATACAAGTAAGATAGTATTTTAATTAACATTTGCTATTAAAATCTTCTGAGATACTCCTTATGGCGGGGACTCTTGTGATCGTATAAGAAATGTTAATTTTAAGGAAATTGTGGCGTTGGCAGACTAAAAAGAGGTAGTTATCTATTCCTTTTTTTTGCTTACTATAACTACTGCAAGACCATCAATATTATTATAATATTTTTTATGCTCCATATTGATTTATTGCAGGTACAATCTTATTGGAGTCTTACAGTGTTATTCACAAAAGATATCAATATAAATAATGAACCTCCTTAGCTATGGTATCTAAATTATTTAATTTCTATTTTTTCCGTACTCATTACTTAAATTAAAATTTCTTATTTCTGCTTAAAATTTAATTCATATTGGATTAAATTTACCTTAAATGGTTCTTTCTTTCATCAGCTTAATAGTGACGGAAACTACTGGGTGTATCTTCTAATTCTGGCGGTATGCTATTGGATATTGTCATGGTTTATGTTTTAAGGTAATTTCTTTTGCTTAAAAACTACTGGGAGTTTTCATAATATATGAAGAAGCGCATGTTTTAGTGTTAAATACGAGCACTGTAATATGGCCATTGTTTATAGGCCCAAGAATCTGTTAGGTAATTGATAAGCTCTACCTTCTGTTTCTATAAGATTCGGAAGTTGGATCTTTTTGGTGTATTCACTCAATTAGGGCTTTGCTTAATTATTTCATATTTATCTCTCTTTTGGATCTGGGGTTCTAGATGTTTTTGTTGTTTTTCTATATGTGATAGGATTGGATCATTTGAACGAGAAATTATGAAAACCGTCATTGCTGAATTGTACTTTTTTGTTGAATGTGAACTGTTTACATGAAAGTATGGGGAATTAGATTTAAGATTGAATTGGTTTTTATGGAGCAATGCGGTTTTGCCATTTGTTGTGTCTCTCTGTTTTGCTTACATTTTTGAAATCTTCTGTTCATTCCTTTATTTAGGAGACAATAAAATTTCATGCTTGGCACTATACACCTATGACTTCCATTAGCTGTTCTTTTTTTTTATCCCCTTTTCTTTTCTTCCTTTCTTTTTTTTATTTTTTGTTGTTGCCTACTCAGGGGTTTATTTAGTTACTTGCGTGTGATTTTTCTTGACCTTCTTGGTGCAGTAGTACAGATTAAAATTTTTGCCTGGCATTATTTGTGTTCAGAGTGATAATGAAATAATTATAACAAATCGTGATACATAGCATTTTTTTTTGATTAAGTGAGCATTTTTTTGATTAAGTGTGCATTTTGTGTTAGTTTGATGAAGTTGATTCGGTTTAGTAATGGGGGTCTGAAAGTTGTTGAAATTTGCAGAAATGAAGACTTTTAGCGCGTTAAAATTGTTTTCGGGAGTACATCATTACAATGGCAACAATGTAGGGTCCGTTTATTTCGCTGATTCGAGTTTGTAATTCGAGTTGAGATGTGATTTTGTGTGAGAGCTTTTTACTGTAGCAAAAAAGTTAGATGTGACTGTTTCTAAGAGCTTTTTACTGTAGCAAAACTCGAATTCTAAACTCGAATTGACGAAATGAACGGGGCCGTAGACTTGGCAACAACATGTGGAAAATACTACAGAGTATGCTGCCTTAGCATTATTGATCTAGGTGACTCTGATATCATTAAGAGCATGCCTAGTGAACATTGAGTATCCCATGATCTGCATCAGGTCTTAGATTTTGGTCAGTCCTTGCCTCTTTTTCATTTTTTTCTGTTGGGAAGTGAGAAATAGCTAGTGAAGTAAGCTTCCAATGTTTGAAAGGTTCAAGATTATGATATTGGACGCTCCTTTTATGGTACTTCTTGATTGTTCTATGGTGACTTTAAATTTTAACTTTTAGGATGTACCGTATCCCATTTTATGGACTTGAACTTTAATTTTATTATTGTTCTCTATTAAAAAAAACATGTGCGAAATTCAGATGTTCAGGGAAAAAAATAGTAGGATGGTCATAGTTAGAAAACATCACATATGTGCATTAACAGAAGTTCACTATTGTGCGGTCTTTGTTCGTTTCACTGTTTTGAAGGTGATGCAGCAGTGGTGTTCAAGGAATTTGTTATTGGTTATGATGACGATTTGACGTGCAGATGTCCTTAAGCTTCTATGGTCGAGAGGCCCACTGTTTTCCTAGTAGCTGCAATTTTCTATTCAACCTTGCAAAGTGGTGGTGTAACCTTCTTTTCCCCTATGTTGCTTTCTTGTTTCATTTTTTGAGGGATGATGTACCTTAGGACTTTATTAGGCTCAAATTTTTCCTTTTTTTTTCTTGGGTGTGTTTTGATGGGTTGCTAGTTGGTTTTAGTTTTGTTGTTGTTTAGTGACATTTGTGCTTTTTGAAAGAAATTGTTTTTTAAAGAAAAAAGACCACTATATGTCTGAAGAAAACAAAACAAAGCTATCTTTCTATAAATTTGATTAAAATATCTGCAATAAATTTAGAAGCATAACACGCTCATCCCTCAACTAGTAACTATAGAATATTAGAATGCAGAGTGTTTATTGTAGCTGCTCTAACATTCTTACTATTTAAAGTTTTTGTTTATCTATTTTGTTGTCTTCTGTGCACTTTCCCCCTTCCCCTGAAGCATAAGTTTTTCATTCTCTGCATTTTTTTCAGCTTTTTTCTCTTCTTTTGTGTTATTCTCTCTCACCTTTTTGCTATTTAGAATCGCCATCAACTTGATTTGAAAGGAATGATCTGCGATATTTTATTAATGTGGCAGAAAATACAGTTAAATAGGTAACAAAGAATAACAGAATAAAGAAAACCTCCCTAATAATGTGGCTTATTTGCTGTTACAATCAAATCAGATTTTATTGACTAAAACCTAATCCTAAACAACCGGATAATAGGAAGATTTGAATATTTCAAATTAATTCAAAATATTTTAGATTGATTTAATCCAGTAAAATCCGATTAAATCAATTTGATTTGATCTGTCAACACTCCCCATCAAGCTTGGACGTAGATGTCTCTGAGTCCGAGCTTGCTTGCTAATGCTTCAAATGCTGGTCCGTGCAGTCCTTTTGTGAGAATATCAGCCACTTGTTACTTCGTAGGGAATATATCCCACACTGATTATTCTACTCAATTTTTTCTGTGATGAAATGCCTGTCCACCTCCACGTGTTTAGTTCTGTCGTGATGAACCGGATTATGTGTTATGTTGATTGTAGCTTTGTTGTCGCAATAGAGCTGCATAGGGAGCTCACAATCATTTCTTAATTCTTCCAGTAGTCAGTTTATCCAGATTGCCTCACAAATTCCATGAGCCATAGCCCTATATTCAGCCTCGGCACTGCGCCTTGCAACTACACCTTGTTTTTTGCTACGCCAAGTAGGGCCGACAATTTCGGACATGACACGATGAAACGACACGAAAACGACACGAGATAAATAGGTTTAGACCGCACGATTATTAATTAGATCGTTAACGGGCTGACACGAATAATACGAAAATAAACGGGTTGGATTCGTGCCAGCCCGTTTAACACGCTTAACCCGTTTAGTTATACGGGCCATAATCGGGCGGACACGACACGACCCGAACCGACCCGTTTATTAATCCATATATATATATATTTATATATATTTTTAAGATAAAACTCTAGTTTCTCTAATTCTCTTTCTCTCATTCTCTCATTCTCTCTCATTCTCTCACAGTCCATTTTATTTATATTCTCTCATTTGCATGAAGGGTGTTTGATAAAAGGATTAACAGAATTTAACACTCTAACTTTTAAATAAGTTATGGTATGTTGATAAAATTACAAAATGTAGATGGACTTGTAGATGATTGATTACAAAATGCCAATGGATGATTTGTAATGGATAAACCTAAACTTTAAATATGTTTTATGTTTTATGCACTTAAATATACCAATGGACTTGTAGATGGTTGATTATGTTTTATGCACTTAAATTTTCAAATATTTGGTTATATTTTCAAACTTATTTAAATGTACTTGGTTATGTTTTTAAACTTTTTTAGATGTTTAGTAATTGGTATGTTTTGAAACATATGTCATAAGTGATGTTTTAGATATTTTAATGTGTGTTGGCTATTATGCATGATTTTAACTATAAGTGATATTAAGTAGTTAATTAATATAATTTTGAATACAATATAAAATTCACTATTTTTGCAAGTTGGGTCATAAACGGGTCATAAACGTGTTTTTTTCGTGTCGGCCCGTCACAGCACGTTTAATAATCGTGTTCGCGTGTCGTGTCGTGTTAACCGTGTTATTAGCGTGTCGTGTTCGTGTTTGGATTTCAGACACGTTTATTAATCGTGTCGTGTTCGTGCTCACTATAATCGTGTCGTGCCGTAATCGTGTCGGCCCGAACACGGCCCGCGAACACGAATTGCCAGCCCTAG